GGCTGGGCTGGAAGAGCCGCCCGGTGGGTGCCGGGGGGTCCCCGGTGGGTGCCGGGGGTCCCCGGGGCCGTTCCCGGTGGCCGCAGTGACTCCAGGAGGCAGGAGGGTGAGGTAAAACGTGCATGATTTATTTGAAATGCTGCAGCGTACACAGACACCAAATTTCATTCAGCACACACACAGCGGAACGAAATCTCCTTTAATTTAAATTTTAAAAAAAGGAAAAAAAAAAAAACAACAACAAAAAAGAAACGGAGGCAAATTTCTCTATTAAATAGGCAAAGCAAAAAAAAAAAATTAAAATATTCTTGCCTTAGAAAGTGCAGAGTTCACTATTTGCAAAGGCGGCCGCCCCCGCGGGGCCGGGGCTGCCCGGGAGCCCCCGCTGCCCCGGGCCGGTCCCGCCGCTCCCGCCGGCCCCAAAATGACTTGATTGTCGAAGCGTAGGATATTTCTTTTTTTACAGTGAAATCATACGGATAACGAACAGTTTGAGTGAAAACAAAGCAAAATAAATCTCCGTTTTTCCCCGAACAAACCGTGACTCCGAAGACGGGCCAAATTTTTTTTCTTTTTTTTTTTAAATTCTTTTCTCTTTTTTATTTTCCCTCTTTTTTTCTCCCTCCTTATTTTTTCTTTTCCCCTCTTTTTTTTTTCTCTTTTTTTTTTTCCCCTCTTTTTTTTTTAAATTTAGCCGATGAGGTAGAAACAGAAATGTTATTGCAAAAATGCGATGGGTTTGCTGGGGGCGGGGGGGGGAGCGAACAAAACCATGCAAGTGCGTGTGTGTGCGGGTGTGTGCGGGGGGGGGACCTGGCAGCGGGGGGCACGGGCCGGCACCTCCCTATTTACAGCCGTCCGGGGCGGCTTCGAGCTCGTTTTCTTTCTTATTTGTTTTAATTTTTTTAGTGTTTTTGTTTGTTTGTTTTTGTTTTTTTTTTATAATTTTTTAAAAGAGGCGGCCGGGGGGGCGGTGGGGAGGGAGCGGTGCCGCAGCCCCGGCCGAGCCCGGATGGGGCGAGGGGCTGCAACAAAGACCCGCCGGGCTCTGGCTGCTGCTGCCCTCACTCCGGGCGCCCCCAAATTCCCCCCCTTCCCCCACCCACCCCTCCCGCACTAAGCCTTTCGTTTTGTCTTTTCGTTTTTCTCCATCTTTTTCTTTTTTCCAGTTTTATCTACAAAAGCAGTCTGTACCAGTCCTAACAGCGGGGCCGCTTCGCCCGGAGGGGTGGGTGAGGAGCAGGCACCAAACTCTTCGCTTCGTTTTGGGCGGGTTTCCCTTTTTTAAGGTTAAAAAAAAAAAAAACAACAACAAAAAAGAAACGGAGGCAAATTTCTCTATTAAATAGGCAAAGCAAAAAAAAAAAATTAAAATATTCTTGCCTTAGAAAGTGCAGAGTTCACTATTTGCAAAGGCGG